TTGCGAGTGATGGAAATGAAAAGGAAGAAGATAAGAGTGCATGAAAAGTATGAGAATTTCGTCATCAAGGAAGTAGTAACGGGTGTGAAAGCTGACTGGTAAGCATGATCGATCACGTATTATTGCACAAACAGAGCTTATCGTACTATGAACAACGCGAGACGAAACAAAAAGTTCAATCTCAGTAGAATCATAAGAGTTCCACACTAATTATAATCACAATTTTGTGCAAAAAGTTATGAATTTACGACAAAATGCAGACGTAGTATACCACTACACATGGTACAATGTCAGAATTACAATTCCTTGATATTTGTCATTTCCTTGGACCAGCGGTTATTGTTTTATTTTTGGAATATTCATGTCATTTCCATCAATCGGATGCTTTTCTATTTCCTTAGGAGAGAAAGAAGTTATTGATTTATTTATGGAATATTTATGCACCTTCCTTCAATTAGATGTTTTCAGCCCCTCGAGAATATATTACCATCTATTCGTGTAGCCAAATTTGCCATATAAAAATATTCTCCATCATAAATATTATATGAGATGGTGGAAAATTTGTACTGAAAACAGCGGGAAACATGAGAGGCCGTCTCACATTACATATCCTGCTCTTGTCACCCAGCACATTTCATCCTCGAGCAGCTGAGCGAATGTTCTATCTGATTTGTTTTGAATTTATTATGTAAGACAAGGGCGAGTTCCCAACACAGTTCTGTGCATTTCGAGAACAGTCTATAATAATTTCACTATCTTATACAAAATATGGCACAAAGCCCCCTGAAGGGGCCTTTATACAACGAGGTTCAGCTGTGTCGTGTTCGGACGCGATAAAGCCGCGTCATGCCGTCTCGGTGAGAGGACGCAGACAAACAAGGCCATGAAAGTTGAATTTCTACTACAAATTAAACAGTGGCTAAGTTGAACCATGTCGTACTTCAGTGCTGATTGAGCCACATCTGGCGAATGTCATGCTCTCTGGGTGAGAGGGTGCAGATGAAGGGGGATGACGTGCTTGGCTCAGTTGAAAAGTGCTCTAATGCCCCCCCCCCATGTGGTGTGAAAATCAGGCACCTTTGCATTCTTTCCCCAAAAAGGTTTATCCTCAAGACACAGACGACCAGAGTTGCCGAGGGACCGTCTCGAAGAAGAATTAGTCTTCGCAAGGCTAAGCCTCGATTAGGGGAAGAGAAAGGAGAAGCAGGCCAGTGCATCCTAGGATAACTGTCACCTACAGATCCTCCTTCCTCCTTCGTTTTTTTCATCCTTCTTCACTGTTTTCCTTCCGTCCTTCTCTTTACTCTTCTCCTTTTGCTCCGTCCAAATGCTCAACCAAAAGATGAGGTGAAAAAAAATACCTCTGTACCCTCGCAGCGAGAGATCAAGCGGTGGCAGTTCTGCAACCCGGGCCGTGGTCCTCCTAACTAGAATAGCGCCGGAAATCATTTACTGTCAGTTACTATCCACCTAAACCGTGTTTCTAGTTTGCCTGAGGTAGTGGGAACCGTGCTGGTTGAGTGTTCCCTTAACTGTGCTTTGATCGCAATTACGTACGATACAATCCATGTTACCGTTCCGTGATTAACAGTAAGTCCCCAAATAATGGCACGCCAAATTACCCCGGTAACTGATGTAACTGGGTACAAGGAACGATCATCGATCAATATCGCCCACTGGACTACTTCACACTTGATTTCTCCTCATTGTCTCCCTAGTACATAGTAACAAAACCAACTGAAGCTCAGAACTGAGACGGCAAGAACGTGAGAATGACTGCAATGTCTCTAGTTCTCCCATAATTTGCGAAGGCTTTTTGGCTGATTAATACTATAGAATATTTGGATAGCTGATCCCTATTTGCGTGTTTGTCAGCAAGACAATAGGCAGTGAACTATTACACTTACAAGGGTAGGGGACGAGTTTTCCACGTGGCACGATGTTCTTTGCATGTGCAGCGGCGCAGTGTAAATGCGGTAGAGGAGGGGGGCAGGAAGAGGGGGTTATTGAACGAGGGTTTGTTAGATCACAAACCACAGGTCTACTAATCATTTCAGCTTCTTTCAATCTGCTTGACTGTGTGTAGTGTGAAAGGGATCTCATGGCTAATCATGCCCGTCACACTTCCGCATTCGATCGGCTGCCAGAGGACCCTGATGAGAGTGTTTTAAGTTGAATCGCGAGACTGCAAACTTGCGGGACTAGACAATACTATTGAAGTTTGTGGGCAGCTGCTAGAAAGTGGTATTTCCATACAGCTAGGGATGTTATCGATCGTATTCTTTCTTTCTCTCTCTCTCTGCGAGTGTCCAGACGAAGAAGTGCACCAGACCTTCCGAAGGAAAGGTAATGAAAAGGTTAAGTGATTGCGTGCATGTAGGAGAACGCAGGCACCACGTCAATAAGCTGACCACCTACCAGGTCAAGTTAAAAATAGAACTTTTGGTGGGAGTCCTGACGCGGGAGGCTAGAGCGCAGGGAAATAGAACTGTTGTCACCAAAAGGTGCAGAAGCAGTTGCGAGCCAGTTGATGGATCCCAGAGAGAGCGAATTCCAGGGAGAATGAGCCAGTTAGTATGCATGAAAAGTTGGATACTGAAGGTCACAGTGGTCAAGGAATGTCATGCAGGCAGAGAGCGCAGAGAAAACTAAAATACTGACTCGATAAAAGGGACTGAGTTCTAGTTGTCCGTAGGCCCACCTACCTCTGGGGAATCAGAGCACAAGTGAAAAGCAGTAGGTACGTATCGATTGATGATAGTAACCCCTCGAAACGCTCAGTGAGCGCAACCAGTCAGCAACTTGTTACTTGAGTAACTTTTGCCGATACTCTCTATGAGCCATGTCTAACTCGTACTCAGTTTACAAATACTACCGCCGTGCCTCGCCCTTCAACAGCGATGTTGTTCCTCACAGTGGACACCAAAGCCATGGAGAACTTTTCCCCTAGACGACTCTCTCTCGCAACCAAAATACGACCCCTCCCACCATTCCGCCGGGGAATGCTCACCGTATGAACTGCCCTGACGCTTTAATCTCTAATGTAGGCTAACTCGGGCCACTCGATGAGCTGGGAACTTCATGTAGAATCTGAAGAATTCTGTCCATGTAAAAAAAAGAAACTGGGACCTTATCCTCAAGTTGATCAAACTCTCTTAGTGGGACAACGCTGGGCGGGGGAGGGGCAGACAGCGGGATTTGTGATGCAGATTAGCACAACACGGAAGCTTCAGTCTTTGAACCATTAGCATTTTCAATCAAATGTTCTACACGCAAGCTCGAGTACCTGATGAATCACAACAGCGTTGAAGCAGTTGTTTCTAAAATTGAGCCCCGATTCGCCTTGAAAATTCGTCATCGCTTCTC